ATGATGACCGTTCTTATGCAAACGACCATAAAGATGATAAAGAAACCCAAATCAAGCAACATTTCATAAATCATGATATCAACAAGATTGCTTTTCCAGAAGAACATGATGTAAATATTAAATATGATAATCAAAAAGAAATAACTATCAATGAACATCCAACAAAAAGAACAATATTACAAAAAGAATTTATGATCGAAGTAGAACCCAAACCACGTTCTATTTTGAAAACTTCATTAAAATCCAGATTAAAAAAGAAAAATAAACAGTTTTCCCTCTTCGGAATAAAAATTAAGAAAGAAAACCGACAGACGCACAACAGAGTTCAGTTTAATCCTTACGTAATCTGTTACGAGTATGAAAAGAATCCTCCAGACTTTTCCAATATACGATTCGAATCTCAAGCGAAACATCTTGAATCAAGAGGGGAAAAATTACAGAAAAACTTCCAGATTGATTTCTTGAAAAACAATTCATATTATTTACGGACGAAAATTTTTCCGGAAGATGACAAAGCACCATCCTTTCATATGCTTCGCGACATCTTGTTGCATATTTCCGAAGAAAAATTCCTAGAAACAAGTTCATTATGTACTATTGATTGTAACAATGTTATTGAAGAAATGTCATTGATAAATTTCTATCGTCACGAAGAAAATATATTTTAAAATTTGTATTATTTTGAAATAAAAAGAATTTACGAATAAACTTTTTCATGTTTAACTGTTTTTGTTTTTGGTATTTATTTAAGTATTTTACAAGTTTTAAAATTAGTGGAATTATTTAATCTTAAATACTGTACAGTAAAGTTCGTTAATCTAGTATCCGATAATCCGGCATGCTAGTATTTCGAGCATTTATATTTTTGTGAATCTTAAGAAATAAAAATATAACACTTATAGACACATATATTACATTCATAATTGCTTTGCTGATAGTTTAAACAATTTTATGTCCATTATTATTGTTGTTTGTTGCCTCCCCATTGTACAACTATTTCGAAATTCCTCGTATTTATATACATTAGAACTTTGTTGAAAGGGTGCCGCCCTACCTTTAGAGTATGCGTTTTCTTTATTGTGTTTTTTGTAAAAATGTGATAATTATTGTAATCTGTATTTTATATCATTCCAATTAGCCTAAGTATTGTGATTTGAATTAAAAAGACGGTATATTTTACAATATAAAAATATAGAAGAAACTAAAAGTATCTTCAAACTTCTGTCATGTCTAATCATCAGGAACAAACAATAGAGACGACCTTTTAAAGTTTCAAGATGTGTTTAGTTTCTTCTATATTTTTTATATTGTGAAGTAATGTAATTGTTTTGCTCAGTTTAAAACAGTATATAATTGACGAAAAAAATAAAATACTCCAAAATTTATCCGAAAAAAATCTTAATTTCACCAATCTTTAAACTCCTGCGAATTGAATTTCTTTCGGTTCCGTTTTTAAAATTTCAAAATAAATGCATGCTTCTGAAACAGCGAATAATCTAATGGAATCATTTAACATTCATATTCAACGATTTCATTAATTAATGGGTATATAAAAAATTCATATATTATGAATTTTGAGATGTTTTTTTTCTTTATATTCAACGGACATGAGAAATTTTGTTATTACCTGTGTTTCTTAACCAGTTAAGAATTAACAATTAACGTATCATTTCGACACAACGCCATTATTTTCTTCTGATTAAAGGGCACTGGACAGCATTTTATCCCATTCTACACTAACAGAACTGACAAGTCAGATGCAAATATTAATTTTATCTGCTTTAGAATACGACTCTTAAGCGTTATATTCAGATCAGATGATTTGCATCGACTGCTTTGAATGTGTTGAAAGAGTTAATGCAGTAATTCTCATTTAAATTAATTTCCAGACTTATCGAATTGTATCGATATTGAACTACAAAGAAATAATGCTACATCGTACAGCGTAAATACGTCCGATTATTCTAAGATACAGTAGTTACATTAGAAATCTACGTTTAAATGTATTAATTACATACGACATATGCTATAATTTAGAAGTTTCTTATTTTTAAGATCTTTAATATAACACTGGAGGAGCAAGTTACATCAATTATTGTTAATTTAATAGAGATGGTTATTGATAAAACTCACCTCCCTAATACTATTAAAAATATCAAATATAAACAAATCAACTGAAATTCTTTTGATGTATCATGGGCTTTATTAATTTGGTAAGTTTCAAATACTATCCAGCTTCGTTCGAGAGAACGACTGAGGATACAAACATGGTTCAGGTATCAAGTTAAAGCGCTTAACATGTAGATGATGCCTCTGAAGAGAGATTTGAAAAAGGCACATGATTCGGGAGTGGCGGAGTAACAAACATGCAATGTTGTCTATGGGACAAATATGTCGGACGCTATCTAGCGATTTATTTATTTTAACCATTAGAACCCACTGCGCATCCCCCCACTCTGAATTCCTACTTTTTTTGCTAATTACGCGTTATTTAAGACTTTTTGCGCAATTTTGTTAACATTTATAAATTTAAATACTTACACTACAGTGCCTAATTAAATAATAGTTCGGTTCAAAATGATTCTTTTATTTAAATTTTTTCGAATCTTTAAAAAACATGTATGTATTAGTAAAATACTCTTACTTTTCAATACTGTTAGGTCTCGTTTTATGCGGTGGATACGTTCTACAGAAAATCGCATATAAAAAATTCGCATAAAAAAAAGACTTTACTTGCCTTGAAAAAGTAGGGATACATTCCGTAATTTTCTAAAATCGCATAAAACCAAAACAACGAGTTAAAATTAACTTAAAACCGCATAAAAAAGTTTGCAGAAATTAAAAGAAATAGGCTGCTTAATAAATTACTTCGAATGTCTGAAAGAAATTCATATAAAAGCTTAAAATAAACTTGTCGATGGTAAGTATCATGTACAAGGGGAATCCCCGAATTGCAAAAGCTCACTCTAAAAACAAATCACTAACATCTGGATGTGAAGAGTTAATTAAAACCCCTTTAGTTCCTCGCCCGAGTTAACACGGGCAGGTTACACGGTCCTTAAGGCCTTGAAATATTTTTTTTGAATTTTTGGAATGTTTTTTAAGTCTCCAAATTTTTAAAAAATATTTTAAAATATACGGCCAGCTAGTGTTCACCCTACTTTAAACCCTTGTCCTCCCGCGACGTCTATGAGAATGCCCCGGGTAATCCAACTCCAGCTATGTTCAAGATCATCCAGATGTGTAAACAATGACTCATGGGTGTTAAATTTCACAGAAGGGTGAGACAAAGGAAGAATTTTTGAAGCTTTTTCTTCAAAATTAACGCATTTCTTTCGTTTTTTTCAGTTTTAAGTATTTTTTATGTTTAATTACATTTACATCAAAAATTGCTAGGAACTAAAGCGATTAAGGTAGATCTAGCTGTCTTTTACATCCATAAACGTTATATGTCAGTGGAACAAATGGAGTGAGCTTTGAGCGTTCCACGATTCTTGGAGACTGTCTATACGCGGGCTTCCTAAACAAGCCTATATGTATGCTTGTCCAAGAAATTTTTGGATGAAATACAAACCGCACAACTTCAAAATCGCATAAAAATAATCCGCATAAAAAAAGACCTTACAGTACTCAAAAGGTAGAAAAAGTTTAAATAAATTAATTTTATCAATAGTAACTACAACATCAATCTGTTTTTATTTTACCGTTACTCCACGAGACCAAAACGCGACTCTAACCATTTAATTCGTTACTTAGTATCGATCGATGGTTTTTTCGACAAACCTACCAATAAAAAGAAGAGTAAACTTGAATATCCACCTGTTGTTAGGTCTAAGAGTTTTATTCGCGAAGCCCGAGAGGAAGTTGAATTGTTGAATGTGTGTTAGATACATGAGCGTAGCCAGGGACATGGGTGGGCACGGTCCCCTCCAGTTAACCTGGTGCCCCTCCCCAGAAAATCACAGCTGAAAAAGTGTTGAGCCGATTTCCAAAAAGAAATAAAAAGTTGAAGCTAATTTAATTGCGCGTAGGGTACCGCAGCCCGCAGTTAATCTCCGAATATTGGACTAAACTTCAAATAATTGGCTGAATGGATCCGCTATAATTTCCTACAACCTGACAATATGAAGTTATAGGAAAGTTGAGAAATTCTGATCCTAAAAAAAACAAGAAACAAAAGAAAAAAAAAGGTCAACGGCCTTCTGTGCCCAATGTGAAAAGTGTACTTGTAATCTCTATGTACAGTTTAGTCTTTACGGGGTGACACCACAATAAGATATCGCATCACCTGAAAATCTTGCTAGGGCCGCCTTTGGTTCCGCCAGTGAGAAAGTTTTCTTTCCAATTCGGCCCGGGGGAAACTGTTGGCCACCCCTGGTCTAGATCTAGATCAAAGACGGTGAACTGTATTAAAGAATGGTAAAAAAATAATTGATTGGTTAATTTTTGTTTAAGGCATTGCTGGAGTTTGATATTAATGTTACGAGAACGTATGATTAAAGGAAGTTTCATATTATATGTGTATTAAGTTATTGTCGATTCCTATGGAAATTTCATTTTAATGAACAATTTGAAATACAGTAATTCAATTTTGTGTCAGGCTGGCATCTACTAGGCCCCCATAACAAAACTCTGGCTACGCCAATGGTTAGATACATTTATAATGAAAAACTGTATCTATGTTAATTATATTATTCATTTAATATATTATCAGGAAATTTAAGAAAGGTTATTTTCAACTTTAATACAAGGCGATTGCCACGAGCGGCCGCCACTACCGTCACCGTTAATCCGAATATTCGCCGTTGAAGTCGGTCGGACTTAAGAATGCAAAATTGAAAGCCATTGAAACAGGACAAATTGAAAGAACCTAATAATAATACTGGAGAACAGGCAGACGTGAATCACCCGCAGAGGGACCCGGAAAACACTTGCGCCAGGGTGTCCGTAGAAAATTTTCCAGAGAGGCAAAGCTTTAAGACAAATTTTATTTTTGGGCTTTTTCACAAGTAGATTACAGAATACCGTATGGCATAAATACAAAAACAATACATTATATAAATTTACAATGTAAAGGAAACAAGAATTTTTTACTCAATCCAGGGGGCAAGTGCCCCGTTTTCTCCCTCTACGGATGCTCATGCTTGCTGTACTGATTTTTGCGTATATTTTAAATGATCTCATTGACTGTTTTTATTCAAAATACAATCAATTTCGAAGAATGAACAGCGGGTCCCGGACCACAGCCAAAGCACGAAAAATTTAGTAATAAAAAATAACTCGTATATTACGTTCGTAATTACCTTGTTGATAGTTCAGTAAAAACCTTCCATTCACTTGTTGTTATTATTTATCCTCCACTGTACGATTATTTCGAAACCGTCGTGTTCATTTAGCAGAAATCTGTACAACAGATCACTCCAGAATGAATCTTCAAGCTTCCTAAAAACACATTCGAGATGTGTAACATTGACTTGTAGAACATTATCTTCCAACAGAAATTCATTGCTCTTTATTGCCTGTAGCAATTATCGACTAATGTACCAAAAATAATGTTTCACATTTGCACGTGATTATATGATAAAAATATGCATGATACATAGTTCTGTTTGTCCCTAAAAGTGCATTTTTTGGGATCTAATTAGATCCCAAACCTATGCTAAAACCACCCACCGTGGGCTTCATGTCTTACTTTTTAAATATTTAAAATTTTCTTTATTATGCTTATTGCTATTCTAAACGCCATTTATATACATGAAATTTCATTGAAAGTTTTTATTTGAATTGTGTTCACTGTATTTTCAGCTAATCAATTCTACTCAAACTGTCCGAATATGATCATTCCTACAATAAAACAAATAAATACGTATCACAATGTGAATAACTAAATTATGCTATTTAAAAAATTCGGGACAACCTTCGAATTAATTTCTTTTTTATTATTACATCTCTGTACCAATGATTCCTAACATTTTGGCATCTGAAAAAAATGTGATCACGTACAGTAATACTTGATTGCAAATAGGAATATAAGATTTGTTGCATAATTTATGCAACGTAACTACAATTATCTTTTTACAGTTTAAAAATGGAGCTGTATCTCAAGATCATTAAACGGAAAAACAAAAATTTCGAAATTCAATGTCAAAAAAGTAGCTACTTGTAACAATAAATTTATTTAAAATATCTTCATTTCTAAGGCATATCGTTCTATGACAAATGAACAGAAATAATATACAAAATGATAAATTTTATAGACTATGGTTTGCAACGTTATTTCTTTCCAACATCTGGAACTTTACATCTGTATAAAGCATCGTGTTCCTCGAAGGCATCTCTCATCAAGATCCCATTCGCCCATTCGAAACCTGTACACAGAAATATTCCAAATGTCACAATAAATATTTAAATTTTTAAAATATCTCGATATCACAATAAGTTTTTGATAATCATAAAAAAATAACTGTAACGTATTATATCGATCTCGTTTAATTTAAATTTTATGTTCTCCAATTTATGGTATATAAAATGGTATTGGTGACCATTTTTCTAAACGAGAAAATTAAGTACACGATTGCTTATTCTCATTTATGTGTTGACAAATTGAAACATTGTCAAAACACAAATATTAATAAAAGAGACTTCTCCTTGCGATGTTAATTATCAATTCCCAAATCTGTAGTTCTCTACGAAGAGCAAATGTGAATGTGACGTGTCTATCAGTCTTTTCGTAACTCTGAACCGATATGATATTCAGTATTGGCCGTCGGAAAGACACCTACTGGTATATTGAGACGTTCGGCAACCCTTAACTGCGCCTTGGCGGCATCGTGCAGAGAAACAAGATGAGCAAGTTCGATCTCATTGTGGGCCAAGTTTATTGCTTTTTGGTAGAGTTCAATTCCTCGAGACATATTCCCCCTGTAAGAAGAAAAATTTAATTAAATATAATTAAAATTCAATTAAAAAAACAATTATTATAAACATAGCTATACGTTCAGCTATACCAGTGTTTCTCAACGGGGGCGATATCGCCCCCATGTGGGCGTTTTTCCATGTTGAGGGGGCGATTAGTAACAATTTATATTTTGGGGGCGAAAAACAATTTTCTGTGAGATATAGTAAAACATTATATTAAGAATAATTAGATATTTTATTCGTTATATCGTAGAATAATTAAGCAAATAACATTATACTAGTCTATTCAGTGCAGTACGAATTTGGCGTTAGTCTTTGCCCTGGGCATCGGTATTTTGTAGTGAAGGGGGCGATACTACGTTGAAGGGGGCGACGATTCGTTAGAGGTTGAGAAACACTGAGCTATACACTTGTCCCTCGTTTTTTGTCACCCTCATAAATGTCGCCGTCTTTTGTTAAGACTCTTGCAACTCGATTTTGTCACTTAATACATAAAATTATCAAAAATCACTAGAGTAATAAAACCCTGTTTTATTTGTATATATTACGAGTATGTATGTTATACGTATAAAAGTAATATTCTACTGCATTTTCATTAGTGTGTTTAGTAGTTGTTAATTAAATGAGGAGCCACAATTTAATAAAATTCGATGCGTAGTAGTATCCATTTGAGCGCTGATTCCCTCCTCTATCCGTAAGACAGAAATATACAAAGTCTCCCTTGTTTTCTTTGCACGGCGCCACGGATACGTACGTGTACAAAATAAAACCTCCATTTTCTGAAAGTTTATTTAGGCTATTACAGGGGTACAGGTACACTGCAATAACAACTGTATTCTTTTATACTTCTTGTATAAAAGACTTTTCATTTTACAGTCACATTTACATGTTCTGTGGCAACTTTTTGAATCTTGTGAAATAAAGCGCGATTTACACTGGATGCAAAGGGCGAGAAAGCGAAGGCAGCGAATAGTGCAAAGGAGGCGAATTTCGTTCACACTGAAGCAGTGGTAAGCGTTGTCGCGAGTTTAGTTTCTCACTTTTACCAATAGATGGAGTTTTAAAAAATTCGATATATACTGCAGTTACCAGGTTCTTTTTGTTTATTGTGTTGTGTAGGCTTATCGAAATTAAATGATAAACTAGTATTATTTTCAATATGGATCTTTTTTTCTGCTGTGAGTCGAGAACTCTAGTTCAGATGAAAACGTTTTCATTGGCTTGCGCTTGCCAATGCGCACTGTCATTGGCTGAGATGAAAATTTTTAACTCGCCTCGCGAGGTTACATATGCTCATGTTTCGTAGTTCGCTCTTTGCTTTGTTACGATTCGCGCCTAGTGCAAATCGCGCTTAATCGGTTCAGTTTAACAGTAGATCTAGATCTCCTTACTGTAGTACATGCAGCGAACACATGCAAAATGGGCGAGAGCAGTAAAAAAACTCTTTGACTCTAAAAGAAAAAAACCAAAATTTTGGAAGTGCTTAGCAAAGATGCGTTTAGGCAAACTATGACGGAATAATTTGATGTTCTGCTATCACTAAAATAAAAGAGGAGTTGAACATTTAAACGCTGGTACAATTGTCACTGATTCAAAACGAAAATATGTTCGATTTGGGAAATCTGCAAACTTAATATTCCAATTACTCACAATTAACTGAAAAACAATGCTTTATAATTTTCCAAAACAATGGACATTTCAGAATTTAAAGCATGTAATGAGCGTTTATAAAACTAAGTCATCATGGATTTGTTTCTAAAACGTTTAACGTTGCATGTGCTGTTTCAGCAAAACTTCAAGCTATTCTAGAAAAGTTTAAAACATGATATTTTATTTCAAAAAACCTAAAGCTATTGGCTTTCTTTCAGTAACATATCACATAAGGAACAGTTATTGATATAGGCTTTATTAATGAAGGAAATTCATTTCGGGTTTAATGACCCCTCCTCAGTCCTTATTCTTTACAAAAGAAAAAGAAATGATAAATAAAAATTACATCACAGTGATGTACATGATAGATCATTTCTTTGATAGCCAGAAAGCCTCTTGATATTGGATGTTCAAACTTGAAATGTTTTTCTATTGAGTTATACTGTTCAGTCCAATTTGTGGATAAATTCAAAAATATTTCAAGACTGCATAAACAAATGGGAAACAGAACTATTAAGATCTAAAAGAAAAATCATCTTCAAATTAAAACGAAGCGAACTATGTTTATTTGCCTCCAAATCCAAACACTACTAGTTTTTTTTCAACTACTAGATTTATATATGTAATTCGTTTTATAAAATGCAGATACAGAAAAATGCTGCTTATTTATGTCATAAATATAGTTCATGCATGATCAAATTCCCAACATTAATCTAAAAGATGTAATGTTCAGTACAGTACATGTTGAATAAAGTTTGGAAAGAACGAGTCCAGGGGCCGTATTCTGGTCATAGTCTCTCGTCTCACACAAGCCGGTCGCTGATTGGCTAATCATTTGTTTACGTCTCGAGAAATCATCGCGTCTCTCTAAACGCGATTCTGGACAACTTTTTCTCTCTTCGCTTCTCTCGTTTGTCAGAGAAGCGGCTAGTTGTCTTTCGTCTCGATTTCGTTATATCCAATATGGACGACTGGATGCTACTCGCGCTGTACAATCGTATTAGAGAACGTTCTCTACTCGGGAAAGAATATTTCGAGAGAGAAAATGCTTCTGATTTTTTTCCAGTGCCTAATCGAAAACGTCACTGATTCCATTTTTTTTTTAATTATCCTACATCAATTACTGAACTATCCGAATATGATGTTAATCTTACATATATAGTTAAGGAGAAATTAGATGATAATATTTCGAAAAATATCTAAGTACGCAAGCTTTTCTAACTTAGGTTATTAAAATTTTTATTTGTTAAAAGACAAATTGACATTACAATTTGTAAAAACATTATAAAACAAAAATCAGGTTCGTCAAAATTACTGTACGTGCTTTCCTTGCCACGTGATCTATGATTACGTACTCTCTATTTTCGAAAATTTTACAATTTCATTGGTTAAAATTCTATAAAGTTTTGCGCGNATATTTCGAAAAATATCTAAGTACGCAAGCTTTTCTAACTTAGGTTATTAAAATTTTTATTTGTTAAAAGACAAATTGACATTACAATTTGTAAAAACATTATAAAACAAAAATCAAGTTCGTCAAAATTACTGTACGTGCTTTCCTTGCCACGTGATCTATGATTACGTACTCTCTATTTTCGAAAATTTTACAATTTCATTGGTTAAAATTCTATAAAGTTTTGCGCGCGCAGATAACCCGAACATGTATAATCAACCGAATAGAATCGTGACGTCAACAACAAAGACGAGATCGTTACGAACGACCAGAATCGCCACTGTGTATGAGAGACGAATTTTTTCTCTTGCTTTGACGTCATTCGTCGGTGAAAGAAGAGACGAGAGATAAGTGACCAGAATACGGCCCCAGATATGATTAAATGGTTCTGGGTAAATCACAATGCCTTCCTCCCATGATTGAATGAAGAACCAAGAAATACTAAAAATCAAGTGAACAAGACCTGCAAGACTTATTAAAATATTTCAGCAACTTGAGTATCGTTGATGCTACCAATGCCAATGTAGCTGAATGAGTGTTTTTTAGGGTTTCTCAAACGGGATCCGTTTTTTTTTAACCCGGGAAATCCTGCAAATTTCTTAAAAATTCATTTTTTCTTTTTATTTTGTGTTAAGGTTGAGGAAATTTTGCAAATAGAAAGCATAAAAAGCATAATTAACTCATAAACCGTCAGAATACATTTGTATTTATTAATTTTAAACCTACTTATTACTTTTTTAAATTTTTGCTCGTTATGGCAAAAATAACGAGCAAAATGGTCAATCAATGTGTGGCTTATTTGTGGCAAGACTGAAAATTCTTTACTTGTCAGAACCTGTAATATCTGGAATAATTGCGCTTACGCTGTCTTAATTTTTAACATGCCCGGTAGCTTCAATAACTGCGCAACGCCAGGTTGTGCAAATTGGGCAAGGATACAAACGAGTACGAGTACGAAGTCTGCAAGTATGAAATTTTTCTTCATAAACCTTATTATTAAAGACAAACGAACTGGCGAATTATTCGGCTATAAGTTTGATGCCGCCATTAAAGCAGCCGAGGTAGACAAATCAAGAATACTAGAGCAAAAGTACTACTACAGTCTCAAAAACGAACTAGAAATCTTTCAGGCTACAGGCGAAAAAACACATTTAAGAGACGACAGAATTCCACTCACATCAACTGAATCGGAAAGGGCATTCTCGGTAGCAGGTCTTTTCATTACTAAACTAAGAATCAGATTGAGTGATCAGAGTATTGACAATCTTTGCTTTTTTAAATCTTATTATAAAAATTTACAATATTATTTTGTATTATGTTTTATTTAAAAAATAAAATTATCTTTTAAGTTAGAAGTTTGATCTAAGTTCTTTTTCTTTTTTAAATTTTCAACTCAATTCAAAATATTTGTTGTTGTAGTATGCAATTTCCAGCAAACTTTAATAAATTTTTTCTATTTGTGAAAATTTCTACGTAATTCAAAGGTAATTTTTAATATATATCTTACACAGCATTATTAATATGATTTTGGAGGTTGCAGAATGTATTAAATTACTTTAAAAAACGAAAAATAATTATACCGTATGATTTCAAGATATTTTGTATATCTTAAAAATAATTAATTCTATCGTGGGAAACAGTTCACTTTTATCCCAGAATCCCAGAACAAGCAAAAGACCGGGAAATGAGAAACCCTAGTGTGTTTCCTATGACCATGACTGTCTAATATAATATTCGTTAAATGATGAAGAAATTACTGAAACTACTTCCAATACTATTCGACTTCCAAGAAACAGATAATGATGATAATAGTGAAATAAATGAAGATGGCAATAATGCTCCAATATCTGCAGGTCTAGCCAACTTAAAAATGTTGAAACTTTTTTCCCCATGCAAGAGG